GAGGGGAAGGGAGGGCATCGGCTTCCGTCGTGAACTGCAGACCAAGAGCACAGTAGCCGGCAGGAAGAGGTGCACGGCTGCCTTCGGCGTGAACGGAAGGGGCGGGGGATGGCTCGCATGGCTCCTCGTCGTCAAAGGCGGAGGGGGAGTGAAGGAGCGGCCTGTAGCTGAGGCGGGGGGCGCGAAGGATAGCCGGAGTGAAGTGGGGAGAGACTGGAGCGGGAGCCTCGTCGAAGTCATCGCTCTGGGACCCCTCACTCGTGTTGTCGACGCTGATAACCTCCTCCTCCTTCACCTCTGCGGTGAAACCAGTGAGGGAGAGGGCGCCGATGTAGTGTTCCTTAGGCTTCATCCACTCCTTGGAGACAAGAAGAGGGGCCGGGGGAAGGGAGAGGTCGTTGTCAAAGACAGTGGGCTCGTGATAGAGGGTGGTAGGAATGTCAAGGTCCCAGGCGCCGGGAGCCATAGGTGACCATCCGTCCATGTCGAAGTCCATGATGGGATAAAGGTTTAAAGTGACTGGGTATTATACGTTGCGGAGTGTGAAGAGTAGTACAGGCTAGGGTAGATATGTGATAAGAGATAGTACAGTGCTAGCAGTTGTCGGCGATGATGAGGGAGGCCGTGAGGGTTGTTTTTGGGGGGTGCTGAAGAGACGTGCAACAGCTGGTTATGTATATTCTGCGTCGAGACCGTACTCTGGTCCGTCATCGGCATCTGGGATGGGTTTCGCCATCCATGCTGGCTGTGGGCCTGCAGGCCTGCAGGCCGTACAGGCCACAGGCAGTCGCCTCTGGTTCTGAATTGATGTCTGGGTTAGCTGGCGGAAGCCTGGGCCGCCAAGCCTGGAGGGCTAGGCATCCTGGGCGGTTACGGTCCTGGCCCTCTCGACCGCTGGGTCCTGTCAGGTCCGGATGCTCCTGTCGTCCTGGAGCTCCTGGAGAAGGTGGGGAGCAGATCACACTAATTTTGGCTGCACCCTAGCCCTGAGGACGAACTCTAGTTCTGATACGAAACATGTCGTTACAATCGTCAAAGTCCGCGAGCGAGCGAACGAGGACCGAGGGCCCAACAGGCCAGGGCCTCCGCTCGCGGGCACAATCGCACATTTGTTGGCACTCTGGCTCTGGCCATCTGACCTGTAACAAGGCACGACAGCCCAGGCGGTTCAGGCAGCTCAGCAATTCAACTGTTCCTGACAGGACGTTCTACCGTCCTGCAGGATAAACCAGTCCGTCGCAGGGTCGCTCTGGCAACGGATGCCGTAACGTCTTCTAGTACGACTCCCCGCTGTCCGCCACGTGTCAGAGTTCTCCAGGCAAACCTCACTGGCAGCGGATCATCCACCGCTGGCTATACGCTGGCTGTACTAGGACCAAGGATAGAGGGGACAGATATTCATTTGGTCTTAATTCAAGCCCTCCGCAATACGTTACCCCGCAGAGACTGGCCCTGTGCTCCTTTCGTCTGTCGCCAGATGCAGCGAATGTATACGTAGAACTCGGTTCAGTCCGGCAGGTTGACCGGGTTTGCCATGTCTCGGTGCATGCACAACCCATGCCGTGTATCAGTTTGAGCGGACTCCCGGACGTTTAGGAGGTATGTTCTGGATGACTATTGATGGTGGCAGGAATGAGGGGTAAACCAAGCAAATTTGCTGGTGGTATGGGGACAGCGATCGTCGGGCGATCGCCCCCGCATGTAACGATCAGCGCGCCTCCCGTCATCTACCGGGACGTGGTGTCTCGCACCAAATTGCATGGCGGTCGTGCACGGCAATGGCTACATCGGTGGTTTCGATGGGGTGGCCAAGCAAACCATTCAAATTTTTACCCCGCGTTTCGGTATGCACCTCGGAATGCTGAAGTCCACACGGCACATCCGGCGCCACTGCAGCCACCGGGCCTACGACAGTCGTCACGATCACGACATAGCCGTTCGATCGGAGTCTAGCATGTTGTTGCTCCGCCCATGCATCAGTATCTCCCATGCATCAGTATCAGCAGAGGGCGCGGAGCCTCGGAGTGAGTCCAGCATAGGCGAGTGCGACCACGGAGATTCCTCACCTCGGCACTGGCCTCGGCACGGCGGTCTGCGCTATGCTGGTACTCGTGTCATGCCGTTGCTCCGACCCAAGGACAAATCATAGCCAGTTCCACTCCGTGGTCGTAGATAATTTGGGGTGTACGACGACGGCTTGAAATGAGCCCAACTCTAAACGTTCGTTCCTTGAAACTTCTTTGGGCCAGGGAGGAGCCAGGTGAACAGAGGCGTAACAGCTGGGCCAGCTGAGCCACCTGGGCAGGCTGGGCTTCGGGACTCACCGCCATGCGTACAGGCACAGAGGTACAAGAGCTAGAGGAACAGCGGTACGCTCCGCGCAGGGTTTATGTGTGCGGGTGTTCTCGTCGGCACCGCTGTTCCATGCCTGTCGCGTCGGAGCCTGTCGCTGGACCTTGTGGACCTCACGGACTCGCTCGACGTTCCCCACCCGGTGCACGTTGGGGCGGACCTGACTGGCCAGAGACAGCGGCAGACCGGACACACGCACTCCGTCCATTGCTCGGCACGGCGGTACGCGGCAATGCACGGCAATGAGTAGACGGTACGATGGAAGCTTCAGATTCCAGCGACTATTTTTCGGGTTCCTCCCTCTATTCTGCACGTTTCTCCAGGTGTTCCTCGCGCAAGGGAACGTAACTCAGAGCGCGGGAGCTCGGAGGCAGTTTTTACGGCAGCGGCGCATGGAAGACAGCTGGCATCGGGCTGTCTCGACCGCAATGCATTTCCAATGTGGTGGTGAAGACCGAACCGCCCGCAAAGCGACCAACGCCCGCACATCAGCGGTGACAAGGAGACATGTTCATCGTGGCAAACGTCGTGTGCCACAGCATGCAAGCTTCAGCCTCTGGAGCATCCAGTGCCGCCGGTTCTCTGTTATCTTAGGCTTGCCTGTTATCGCAGCATGGTGCAGACCTCGTGTGCCTTGTGGCTGGGAGCGCTTTCGATCGACCTGCCTTTGGTGAGGAATGGGGCACATTCACACCCAAGCCACTTTACTCTCATCTTCCGAGGCACCAGAGGGCTTCTGTGCGCTCTTGTACGTGCTGCGTATCCGCTGTGTCGCAGATTCTTCTTACTGAATAGCGCAGATGAAAGTGTGGCGTCGGGTCGGTCTGCGTGCGGCGTTGCGGGACGCTCGTCCGCTCGTGTGCCCATGGGCTGCCTCCACGCCGCCCCAAGAACAAAAGCTGAACGTTCGCTGCATACAGAAGCTCGCTGCTCTGCTGCTCTCCACGCCGCTGACGGCAGAACCAAATACGGAGCGTTTGGAATGCATCACGGTATGGCGCAATCAGTGAAAGAATCGGGCCTGTAGGGACCGTGAGGATGATCAGGGTGAATTGCGCCATTTACACGAGACATCCAGCCAAGCCTTCAAACGTCGAGGTCGCCTGGCCCAAGTTGGGGGCCAACTGGGGTAGGGCTAACCCTGAACATCAAACGGGTGGGTCGGTGGTTTGATGACCTCTCCCTACCAGTGCATTCACCGGACAGGTGTATGTAGCATGAACAGCAAAGGGCCGCAGAAGCAGTTTGCGAGAGGACAGCTGTAGATCACAGAGGTCCTGGCGGGCCACACCGAACGAAGAGAATTCCTGACGGACCCACCATGCAGTTTGTGAGCCACTGGCGTGGACAAGCGACACTCGACGGCGCCCACCACGCGCTGTGGCATGCCTCGTTTGCGTCCCAAAGTAGTGATCACACTGACTGGCCCTGGTCGAGGTGCCATCTGCGAGCAATCAGCATACCGCATCGAGGAAACAGAGTTTCGCCTTCACCCGTGCACCGCAGACTTCGAAGACTCGCAAAACGCAGCCAAAGCTTGTTCGGTCCTGCCCTCCCGCACGAGACAGACGACGACGCGCTCCCCCACTTCGCGCTCAACAGCGATCTCTGTGAACACCGAGTACTCTGCCAGAGAGTTAGGTTTCGCGCATTCTAAGTTCAGAAACGGCCCAGAAGTTCGTGACCGTGGTCTCAGGTCCGCGGTCCAGAAGTTGGCTTGGGGAGGAGTGAGGAAACAAAATGCCAACGGCGATCGGTGGATTGTCGCTTCCCTCGCCAATAACGTCACCCCCCACGCGACTGACGTTCACCTTGTGGGAGCACACGGCGAATAACAACAGTCCCGCCTCCGAGTCCGAACTTCTACGGACATCTCGAGTGCGGAGGAGCGCTACTCCACGCCGTCGGCGCCGTTATGGCGGAGGCTCCCTCGGCATTGTCGGCAGTACCCCACAACAGTAGATTGTCGATTAGGTCTCGCATCACTCATAATGGGACAGGGCATGGAACTTGACATATTCTTGATTACAAACACCCTCGTCCGGGCATGATACGCAAGCGGCCCATGTTTCTGGACCCCTCTCTACGTTGCATGCACTGCTTCGATAATTGGCTCATCACTCGTAGATCACCATTCCGGGCGCCGGTAGCAGAACAACTTAAAGCGTGCGTGCGTCGAACACGTAGCTCAGTGCTACTCTATATTAAGGGCCAATTGAAGCCGATCTTCTTAACTGTGGGCTCCCGCAGAGTCGAAAACTGGTTTGCTCGCCGGGTTGGCGCCTTCGCTTGGAGCGGCGCCGGAGTGGGCCGCAGCAGCAGCGTTGGCCGGAGGAACAGAAGTGCTCTCCCCATGGGCTCCGGGCACGTACGCGCTATCCGGCAGTCCACTCTCGTCCAGCCCCTCGGCGGCTAGCTAGTAAGCAAATGCCATCACATTCTTCAAGGCTGCCATGTAGAAACAGTCTCGCTTGCGTCTCTCCATCGCTTAGGTGTGACATACCTTCGATGACGTCGTACATGGGCGAAGCAATCTCGGGCGCAGGAACACGCCCACTGCTCTGTCAGCTCCTGTTCGGCCTAATGGTCGGCATGTTAGGAATAAGCTGTCTCACCTCAGAATGTCAGTGGTGGAGACATTGCTGCCGTAGAAGTCCCTGTTGGCGTCGTAGCGCTCCACCAGGATGGTGCCGTCCAGCGCGAGTCCGGCAAAGAGACCTGTGGCGTTAGAGAGAACGACGTCCATGCCACAATGCCCGGGAAAAGGTCTCTCATGCGATCAGCCATCGCGATAGCAACTGTCCAACCCCAACCAAGCATGGCAGAGGATGAGCGCTCCTCGGTAGGAGATATGTGGTAACCGTCTTCCAAGCAACATGCCTCGGGCGAACTCTGCCTGCAAACGAGAGGAAAGTACTTCAAGCGAGGAGCAATGCAATGCCGCGGGACGTCGCAATAAGTTACGACGCATAATTCCGCGTTCCGACATCTGTCAGCGACCGCGGAATGCGTTCAAACAAGCTGAACACATGCTTACGCGGGCTTGATCAGACCACGGGGCCCGCTGTACCCGATCCGATAGGCCAACGAGCGCATTTCAGATAAGCGAGGAGCGGAATGCACTCCGTCAATGCTGATATCGCTTGCGTTGGGTCGTGATGGTTTCAACTTGTACCTGTACCAATGAAAGGCCAGCAAGCCACATTGAAGCACGAGGTACGACTTGAACGTCGGATTGTGGTCGGGGACCACATTCCTCGCTTAATGGTAAGGTCCAAAGTTGGGTGACCTCCAACCTACACATCTAGCGATGCCCTTTGCCACAAAGCCAGCTATGTGGCCAGCCAGAATGGCATGCACCGCATGGGCGGTGCCTCGCGCGCGTAGTCCACTCCCGAAAGTAAATCACGTCCGGCCAAGGAGCCTTCCCCCGCGATTGGGGGCCTGTGGATCGGATCGGGCGCAACGCTGGCGCAATCAACCCCTTTCGCTTGCGCCAATCTCCAATCTCCAGATAAACGAGGGCAACGCCCACTCACCCTTTGAACGAGAGTAGCTGAAGATCGGTGCCGGGTTGACCATGCTGGCGGCTACCTGTCCGCCGGTGCCGATCGGACCCGCCGCAGCACTAATGCTTCCACCAATGGTCACGTTGCCTCCACGGGAGAAGGCCTTGACCGCCTCATCGGAGTTGAGAATCATCACAACCTCTGTGAGGTCGGCACCGATCTGAAGACCCCATCCGACGCCTGCGGTTAGAGCTATCTCGGCCGATTACGTTGAAGCTATCTCGGCCGATTACGTTGAACTTACCGGCCGTTGCGATGCAGCTCGGCGCGCTCCAGCTGCCGTCGGGAAGACGGGCGACAACGATACCCGAGCCCGCCTTGCCAGAGAAAACAAATCCAGCCTTAACGATAGTGAAGACGGCAATGCCTAAGCGAGTCAGCACATATCTTCGCCCGTACGTGTTTCAGACGTCGTCACTCGAGCTTTATCGTGCGCAGCAGCCTGTCTGTGAGTTCTCAACACACCTTTACACTTGAGCAGGACGTCCTTAGGCACGGCATTCAGAGCACTCTCTGGCTTCCAGGGATCGGCTGTCGTCAGATATCATTCGTTGCAATCGACGCACCGAGGAAGCTCTTGAGGATCTTGGCAGCCTTATCACACTCGCCCGGCAGAGAGAACGACTGCATCAGACTCGAACCGCCGGCCATAGCACGCGTGCTACCCTCCTTTCCTGTTAGCCAATCCCCCTTCAGTCGCTTATGTGGATGAGACACTGTGGTCATGACCGAACTTATGAGCGAGCCGGAAGCGAGAAGACGTCGATCCGGCACGTGGGAACTCGTCAATACATACCTGCGCGAAGGCACTGGCCTGCTGGCCGACATGGGCAGCTTGAGTCTTGACCTTCCCAAGGAAATCAGCGAAGCCTGGCATGATGGTCGTAGTGGTTGATGGGTAAAGGTGTCGGTGGCGAAGCGCTTGCTCAAGATGCACGACCGCACGCCGGCGACGTCACTTGAGATGGGCCGGGGGCGATCCTTGATCACGTGACTTACCACGTGTGCTCAGTGACGATATGTCAAAGATGAGGATGACTAGGGCGCTGGCGATGTCGACAATGAGTTTACGGCAGCGGACAGACAGATTGGTGATGGGATGTGCATAGGGTACAATGTACAACATAGATATCTATAATCTGGGCCAGGCGCAAGAAACTACAGGTACTTCCGGCTCAGCATCGCTCTTCTTCCCTGTATTGGAGGGCGCCTTCTTCTGCCCCTGGGTTTTCCGGGATGCTTCCATAGCGATGTCTGCCTCTTCATCCCGGGCGTCAAAGTGAGGCGCGTCCTTAGCCCGTTTCGCTTGCGCAGCTGCCCTCTTGGCAGCGAAGTACTCAATCTTCTCGGCGTGGTGCCTGTCGAGAAGCTCCTTCAAATCCTTCGCGACCTTCGCGTCCCACTCCGCTTGCTCAGCCTCGGTCAGTCCTTTAGGTTCTGGGGACCAGCTGTCTCCATCCCTGCTCTGAGGCCACGAAATCTCGCGAACGGCAGCTTGTCGGCCCGACTGCTGGGCCATAGCGCGGATAGCGGCAATGCGCTTGCTGGGAAGACGCCACTGAGTCCGAGGACCCTCGACGATGTCCTCGGAACCGAAGAGCGAGTCGTCGTCGTCACTCTTCTTCGGGGGAGTGGCCGATGCTCCCAGCTTCGCTCCGTCCTCCAAGTACATCTCCTTACGCGTTTTGCCGTCGGGGATGTAGAGGTGGTTCATCGACGTAAGGAGACCGACAACAGTGTTCCACTCCGTCTGAACCGCTTCCTGCCCGTCGAAGTGTTCCGGCGAGATGGCGATCGTGTAGTTAACGGCCCACTGCTGCTGCTTGCGCACTTCAGGGTTCTCGGAGAACTTGAGAGCTTCCGCCGAGACTGGCTTGCCGTCAAGGACGTTCTGGACGCGAAGCGCGAGCGCTCGCTTAGGTCGATCCGCGCCGCCGACGGGCTGCACAACAGCGATTAGCTCGTTGGTGCCATCGGGGCGCTGAATAGCCTGGCGACGCAGTGACATCTGAACCGACTCGTTCGGGAACAGGTCCGTGGCCTTGTCGAGAAGCTTCTCCATCAAGCCCACGCAGAGCTGGAACACCTGGTCGGCCATCTCCGTAGACCCGAACAGCACACGGTCAATCTCGGCCAGCGACAGGTACTGGAAGCCGAAGAACGTCCGCGTGTTGTGGTACGCCACGAAGATACCGTCCATCTGTCCGATCCTCGCCTGGAAGCAGTACTTGAGCATACCACTGCGCGAGAGGTCGTAGTATTCGCGCTCGAAAGACTCCTGGAATCCGTGCTGCTTGTAGATGGTGTAAGCAGCGTTTTTCTCCCAGTTCGCACGATCCTGGCGGATAGGGAAGCAGGCGCGGGTTTTGATATCGAAAGTTCCGGAGCCCGGCAATCTTGAATCCTGGCAGTCGAGTTGGGAACGCATGAGGAGCTTACCGCTCTTGCTGTAGGCATAGGCTTCCCGCTCAGTACGCTCAGACTCCGGAACGGCGCTCTCGGGAGCGCTGTTGAGGAAGCGCTTGAAGTCCTCGGGCGATGCCGTGAGCTGCTTCTCCAGAATGCGCCCATAGTCGGACAGAACATTGTTATCAATGCTGTGTGTCTTGTCGTTGTCGATAGCATACGTCCCGTTCTCCTGCAGGCGAATGTTGATGAGGGCAGGAAGCTGAGCACCGGCAGTGAAGTCAGGTCGCTGCTCCTGGAACTCGGCGGAAAGGGTGGAGGTGTCGACTGGTCGAGCGTTCGAGAGGGTGAAGTAGATCTGGCTGAGAGACTGCGTCAAGGTACTCGTTGATCCGGTATACCGCGTGTTGTTGGTGGTCGCCATGCCGGTGAGCTCCGGGTCCTGACTGGCGGTGATGTACTGCGGCAAACGGTGAAACGCGAACTCCTCTGGTGTCGGGATACGCTCCAAAGCCTGGTCGAAGTTGAACACGCCTGTTCTCGGGTCGCGCATGTGGTGCACTCCGGGAGAAAAGAGCACCCGCTGCAGGCGATTGTTGAGGCGGGCCACCGGAGCGTCGCGCGGCGGCTTCACGGGGACAATCTTGACGTCCGAGGCGGCGAGCACGGATTTCTCGAGCGGCTCGAAGATGTCCTCGACGGCAACAAGTGGGTCCTCAACATCGGGAGCATTCCGAGTATAGCCATCCTCGGCGGCCATGGCCTCGTCCAACATCCGCCGCTCCTTCTCCTCCTCGCTTGCGGAGTCGCTCCGAAGGGCAGCCGAAGCCCGAGCACCCGAAGCAGCTGCAGCAGCGCCTGCTGCGACTGCAGCTGGCCGCTCCTTCCAAGGTTTTCGCGGCCCGTTTTCTGAACCTGGCTTCTTCAGTCCGTATTGTGATACCCCATCCCTGAAGCTGACCTCCTTCGACAGCCGTTCCTCGTCGTCCTCTCGCCTCGGTTTCCGATTCGGTTTTCGCGAGTTGGAGAGACTCCGGCCCCTCCCCGGCTTCTCGGGCCTCGCCGCCTTTGAGTTGAACGACGGCTTGCGTGTCTTGTTCAGTCGGCCCTTGTTGGACTTGGAGGGACCACTTGAACTCTTGGAGCCATCGCTGTTGGGCTTCGCCGCAGGTGCAGACTAACGTGAGCAAGCTCGGCAAGCGCTCGGACGTCGTAAGCACTCACAGCATCAAAGAACACCGGCGACGTCGAAATCGCTCTCCTCAGAACATCGGGCCTCATCAGTCTTCTCGCGAGAAGAACGTTCATGGTCGTGCGGAGTAGGCGGTGCGGTGACGAAATGCTCCGGTCTGAATGGACCTGATATGACATTGACCCTCCTCCGAACTTTTGCCATCCGAGATCACGTGGTCACGTGACACGCGTCACAGTCATACACGCAAGTGTTGTCATGAACCAACGCCTTGAACGCCTCGAGACATTGTTCCATCAGCGACTTCACCGACAATGGCGGACAACAACGAGAAGAAGGTCGAGAACGAGACCAAGCCCCAGGAGGAGAAGAAGAAGCTCCCCCAGCTCGGAGCTCTGGAGGACGACGACGAGTTCGAGGTGAGTGCGATATGGGCGTTCGGGAACACCGCAGCGGCGACTCGATGATTCGCGGCTTTGAGCAACGATTCCTTGGACATCAGAGAGTCCATACCAACGGCTTTGGTTAATCATGGTCTTCACGTGCCCTGCTCTTCCTTCAGTCTTTGGAGTTGTCACCATGCCTTATGCGACGTCGTGAGCGTACTTCGATCGTCGCCGGGGATCAACTCATCGAAGGCGCGGCCTTCCTCTCGGGGAAGACCTGAGGTCGGCTTCCTCCATGTCGTGGAGTTCTATCACGTTCATGGGGGGTATGTTTTTGCCTGACAGTCGGCGCATCGCATGGCGTGCACGAAGCACGAAGTTCAGATCGTCTCTTCCCTTCCTCCTAACTGCTCGCATGAAGCGCTTGAAGACTTGTGCTGACCAATCCAGGAGTTCCCGGCATCTGGTTCGTAACCAGAACTCGAAGAGAGCACTAACCCCAGCCGCACAGGAGGGGACCGTAGCGGACGGTTTGCAGAGCACGCAGGAGCAGTTGTGGGAGGACAACTGGGACGACGACGATGTCGAGGACGACTTCCAGAAGCAGCTGCGGCAAGCGATTGCCGAGCGCGCCGGCGGCGACGACGCCATGAAGGAGTAAACGACCCACCCTCATTGCATGGAACGTCGCGGCGCGTCGCGGCAACCTCGTGGCCACCCTTAGCAGCCTACGGCGATAGTTGTAACACAGCCTATGGAGAGTCGTAGTCTGATGATCGGAGCACTGATGTGCGTTTCAGGTGAGCCAAGCAGAAACGGACTTGCAGCTGACGTTCCAGGCTCTATAGAAGAAGTTATGCAGAGATCATTTACATAATGACAATGGAATAGCGACTTGAGACAATGTTCGGGCTCGGGAGGATGCTGATATGCGCGGAATGGAACATGGGATGGGGATGGGTGGTACGGAGTGATTGAGGTGGGAGGGAAGATATGAGAGCAAGAAGGATGTGGATGACTATGGGACGCGAACGGTGGTGCTGGAGAGATCGAGAATCGAGGGTGCGGCGTGCTTAAGGTCACAGATTCCGAGAGAACCAGCTACGCCCTCCCCATACGCTTTCTGTAAGCGGCCATCTCGTTGAGAGCCTCTTGTTCGTCTTGCTCATCTTGGCGTCTGATTCTCTCTTTCTCTTTTTCTGCCTCTAAGCGCTCCCACCTCTCGCCCTGTTCACCAACCATTTGGTCTCTGATCTCGTCGTGGATGGGCTTCTCTGACCCATCCGGCTGGGGAACGCCAGCTTTGACAACAGGGTTGGACTTGAGGCGGCCGAAGAGCACGAACATCTTCTCCGCCTCACGCTCCTTCTCTGCATCCGACATGCCCTCGAACGGGTTCTTGAAATCGTCTGCGGTGTGCCGCAGACCCGTGATCGGGTTCAGGCCGTAGCGGTCGTCAAAGGGCCCGGGTCCTGCTGACGACGGCGCGGGCGGCGCTGGGCTCGGCGGCAGGTTCGCGAAGCGCTCGTCAAACGCACTCGGGGGTGCGCTCGTGTGCTCGCTCCCGCGCCGAGAGGCGGGCATAGACTCGCTCCCCCGACGTGACTGCGAGGCGCTGCCCCGACGTGAGATCGACTTTGAGCGCGAGTCGCCCCTCCGGTGCCGCATCGACTTTGTGCTCGATACAGAGGGCCGCGGAGAGTCGAGCTCCTTGATCTTCGCAGGCGGAGGACGGAACATGCCCTTGCGGAACATGAGTCCCGCCACATTGCCGTATCCCACCTCGTCGCAGAGTTCGGACGCTGAAGTCAGCTAGGGGTCGGACAGGAAAGCTCACCATCACCACCGCACACCTCCCATAGGAACTCGCCCGCCGAGTTGGAGCAGTTCGGGTATTCTGTCGAATTGAGAAGGCGGAGGATCGTGCCGAGCACGCCTGGGCGCGTCTCGAGGCCACCAGCCTCCTTAGATCGATCGCTGAGGTCAGTTACAAGAGATCGTCAGGCAACTCACAGGTTAGGCGGGAACAGGGTGTTGCGGTACGCCTTGCGCATGACCTCAGAGCCCTGTGCCGTGGAGGCGCCGAGCAGGAGCACGGGCGGAAGGATCTCTTCCAGCTGCAGCTCGGGGTTCGGTTCAACGCAGCCGGGCATGTGGTGGCGAACGAACTCAGACAGGATGCCCAAGAGGCGGAGGGGGAAGGCGTCGTCACGCTTGCGCGGCATGCCTTCGGATGAGCTGTCGCTCGACCCGCTCCCCGAGTCCTCGGCGCGGAGGGGCGAACGGCTCCGCTTAGGCAACAGACGAAGGCCGGGCCATTTCCGCGGACCGCCGGAGGAAGTCCATATCGGCACCGTCTCACTGTTCACGGGGAAGCTAAGGAGCGCATGCAGTGCGTGGGTCAGCGGAGGAAGCAGGTCTGACAGAGCAATGTCGAGTACAAAGCCGAGCAGCGGCCCGAGTAATCTGGTGTTAGCTCAAGATCCATGGGAAGTCAGCTCACGGGGTCAGGCGGTCGCTCCAGTCCTCGCCGATCTTGGACGGATATATCCGTACGACGTTGCCGGTGAGCTTGAGCAGCTCACTGAGAGCATCGTAATTGATAGGTATCGGCTTGTTCGCGCCGAGGTGCTGCTGTCAGTTCACCAATGGGAGCAATTCAACTCACATAGACAAGGCGGTTCACGATGTCTGCGCCCTCGACCATGTCCTTGACTCCGATGCCGTCGGCCGTCACGAGGAAGCCAATGCGACACACAAGGAACAGTCGATCCGTAGGCAGCGGTTCAGCCAAAGCACGGCCGATCGCCTGAGGTCCGCCCATCGTCGCAAGGCGTTTGCGCGCAGGTGCATGCAGCACAAGCGTGTTAGCGAGCGCACGCTGCGCTTCGAGCGCCGGCGGCGTCGCCGGCTGGTTCGTCGAGGACTCGAAAGGAAGACCAGTGTGATACGCCAATGTTGACAAGGAAGAGTCCTCGACCAGCACCTCGGACCCGATCGGGTTTCGTCCGAGCACCTTCACTGCCGTAATCGCCAATGTGTATTCTGCCTGTCAGTTCATGAACGGATCTCAACTCACGATCTTGCGACCATCGCCGCCAGACAGCCTTGCAGCTGAGGTCGCCGAGGATAGCACGTAGCAGCGCAGTCCGGTCCTCCGGCTTGATCTGGGTTGGGAGCGCACTGACGATTTTGAGCAGTTCGGTCTCGACCTCGGGGTTGCGTCCGCGATTCTCCAGCCGCATGTACCCGTCCGCTGAAAGGTACTCCATCGTTGCTCGCTGTGCCGGTGTCGTTAGTGAGAAGTGGGCGGTGTCGAGACGGCAGTCGCAATGCGAGGAGATGCAGCAGTGAGAAGCAGGGGTGGTGGAAGGCGTCGGCGGCGTCAAAGGCGTGTCAATAGGAGTGTACAAGTAAAGGTGTGTGCAGAAGATTGCGGAATGGAAGGAGGACCTACGAAAACAACAATGGCGGCCGGCCAAGCCAGGCGCGCCCGAGGACTTTCGTCATAGCCTCCAACCTGATCCCGCGTTGTAGCTGTCGTCCAGTCGCATCCTCTTGACAACGCTCCCTCCCTCAGCTCCTGCATGCTCTGCCGCACGCATGGGCCCCCTACCCCTTTCACTCCCTGCCCAGTACCTCTCCTCCTTGCTCCCTCGCTGCTGACATGCTGCTAACTCCTGCGTCTGCTCCTGCTAACTCCTGGTCGCTCCTGGCATTCTCGAGCTGCGGTTCATTTGTCCCTTGACCATCCCGACGAGCATGTGGACTGGCTCATCGACTGGCCTATTACAGTCTCGCTGACATGTGTCCCGAGAGCACGGGGGGCTGGGCATTGACAGGAACAGCAAGGAACTACGAAGGACTGCGAGGGAATACAAGGGACGACGAGGAATATGGTCAGTTTCAAAACCAGAAACGAACACACAGCGACCCAAGACAAAGGAACAAAGGGAAACAACGGGGCGCCAGCAGGTGTAGCGAGGAACGAAAAGGGGCAGAGGAGGGCGAGGAGCAACCCATGCCGGGTTGTAGGACTTGGAAACGGGGGCGGACGAGGGCAAGACTGCGATGTGCGACTTGCTCCATCCTGGCGTTTGCGCCGGATTGATACGAGGTATCACAAACGAGCGAGCGCTGGCGACCGCACGCGAGCGGGTGCGAGCTCTCACGACAGTAGAGGCGGAAGCGGCTGAATGCAGCCTCCTAATGCCCCGCCTTGACTGTGCGCGCCGGCCCCGCGCTGGCCCACGGCTGCATTAGGGCCGTGAGCAGGATCCTCATCGCAGCTCCGCTACTAATAGAACGTGCCAAGTCGGATCCCCAGAGGTACGGAGACGGCGCCTAGGAACGGAGCAGACACAGAACACACGGAGAGGTACAATCATGCACAACTAGTCCGACGCTCGGGCCAGCGGATCATATGGATATCGCATCGGGCTGAGAGGCGGGAGTGCTACGGGAATGCCGTGGACGGCCATGGTTCGCATGTCCAACAACGTCGGATGGCAGACACACTGTCGTGAAGAAGCGGGTCGGAAGTCGGGTTGCGCAGGAGACCGATGGCGACATGGCCCGAACGAGTCAGCGCCTCCGAGGCGTTTCTGCCACGAGCGACCCACTCCACCTAACAAGCGAAGCAGATGGAGAACGCAACGTGATTGCGTCTCACATCGGCATGCAGAACCTGTACTCCCTCGTTAGGCGCACGCGAGGGCGTTCTGGGGACCAATGGCCTGTACGATGTCGAATGGAGAGCCGCCAAGACAATCCGTCGCTTGCCCCGCGCCGCCGCCCACCGATATCCCCGTGGAGCCGCGAGACAGGCCGCAACAAGCCGCCGGTCGGCCGGGGTCCCCTCGTTATCCATGAGTTCCGAATCTCGCTCTCTCGCTCTTGCACGCTTAGGCGAGGGCGCGAGCTCCCCCATGCTGATGCCCAACTTGCTCCACGACGGCGGTCGTCGCCGTTACGGGGGCAGATGTCGGCAAGCCGTCGCACAGACAACACGCCGCTGACGTAGGGAAGCTGTTGGGTCCCAGCGCCGGCTCGCTGGCGCCTCTTCCGATGCTCAGTCCACGCGAGACCTGAGTTTTCAGCGACGATCATCAGAGCGCCGACGCCTTTCCGTGACTCGGACCACAGAGCTTGTTGAAAACTCGCACCTCGAGAGAAGAAGCCGAGCCAAGACGAGCGGCGTCTCGCAGCGGGCTCCACCTGTGCCGAGTCCTGACGCCGAGTCAGTGCGCCGGCGCCTACCGAAGCTCAAGCCCATAAGGCAGGACTTGCGCCGTGTCAGCCGTCTCAATACCGACATCGCCGCACCTCGGGCTGCCCACGCCTTGGCCGGCTAGAAACTCTGCAGCGGTGTACACCGGCGGCTGTCGGTGCGTTGCCGTACTGCAGACGCGATGGTCAGAATACTAGGGCTAGCCATTCAGAAGACACCGCGGGCCGGGCCATAGCGCCGGCACCGACCCTTGCTTCCGCATCGATCCGCAACTCTCGCGAGTTAGCAGAGGAAGAGTTGACATTGTCGACCTCCCATTGGCTTCGCAGAAGTCTGAGCGCCGGCGCTGTCCTGTTGCTCGAGCCCTAGCACTCGCTCGCTCTCTTTCAGAATTCGTTATCAGTGTCGCTATTGGAATACATCGGCGGGTCCAAGCTCCGGCGCCGTTCCGACACTCGAGCTGGACCTCGTAAGCAGTGAGACACCGCCAGGCCATTGCGCCGGCGCCGTCCCGGAACTCGAGCCTCTCCGTCCGCCGCTAGGGCCGTCCTTCATCGTCGAAAGACCTGTGCGGCGAGATTTCGTCCCTTGCACCAAGGCGAGGATGACAGTGCACCCCTGCCGTGACGAGTTCTGCTGCTCAAGCTGCGCGACGACTTCTCGTCCCTCAAGACCAGTCAGTGCACCATCAAGCACGTCTGCTAGCGTTGGCGCCATGCTCCCGCCAGTCAGTGCGTTCTTCTTCTGTGACAAGTCCCGTCGCTCGAGCCATGCCCGTCAGTATTCGTACCTCGTCCTCGAGCCCGAACGTCAGTGCACCATCCTTCTGTGACAGGGGAGACGGCTCGAGAGCGTTTCACGGTCATCTCACGTCCATCAGACATCGAGATCTGTCGTGAGTTTCGCTGCACGTCCTCTCCGCTCCCCAACTGGTCCGAGTTTTACGCAGGCCACAACCCCTCTCCTCTGTGCCGATATGTCCATGATCTGCATCTCCGTCCAGCCGCTATGGAGCTAGTGTCAGTGGCAAACGGGGGCACGTCGTCAGTGCCAAGCAAGCGCAAGGGCATGAGTCATGGCGAACCAATCTGACGTCGTCTCGTTACGTCTGCTGCCTTGGTCGGGTCTGAGCTAGGAGCTACGTGAGCTTCTCCGGAGCGTCGCCAGATTTCGGACAGCGCGCCGCAAGGAACTCCGCGGGGAAGCACAAGGTCATGAATTGCCAGCCTGAAGTCAGTGGACCGACCACGGCTGGACCATGTCATGTCAGCCAGCTCCAGCTAGCTCTGAGCAGCTCCTCCTGCAGCTTCCACTGGATCCGACTTCGATGATGCGGCCAATTCAAGGCGCCGAGACACGTTGATCTGCGGCACTCCAGTTCCTCCAGTAGCCCCTCCAGTTACGCATTCATTCTTCACCCTCACCTCACGTTTCTAGCAAAGCTAACGAAGCTCACGTATCTCATGCCACTCACATTGTTCGGCCGGCCCATGACCGAGCTTCGAACCTTGCAACCGAGCTCGGCACACAAGGATACCCAGGGGGTGATGCAATCGGGAGGGGTCAGAGGGTGGACACACGCTCGTGTTCGCTTTCGGGATTCACTTTCCTCGTCTCCGCGTCTCTCCGTTGATCACGTTCTCGCTCGCAAACGTTGGAGCCTGGGTCTGCATTGCTGTTGGGCCGTCGGACCGTGGCCCGTGGCCCGTCAGGCCCGTCAGACCTTCAGACAGCGGCGATCGGTCGCGGCCTGCGTCAGCGAGGAACAGGGGAAAGGACAGGAACGGCGGAACCGGCGGAGCAACGTCATTGCTCCGCCTCCGCCTTCGCGATCACTACAGAGGCGCCCCAATGGCCATCTTAGGCCCGCCTCGGAAACTGTGGATTCTGTGGAGTCACGAGGTCGCTGGTCCCCCCTCGTGCTCTGCGCGCCTCACTCGTCATCAGGTCCGACCCTTTCGCTAGCGTCTGGATGTAGTGTCCGCAAGAGGCGAATGCTTTCTCTTCCTGACGGCCGCTGGAATGCTGACCTTCGCCAGGAACCAGACCTGGGCCTCTCCTGGCGGAGACCTCGAGACGACGTCAGACGGGATCGCTGCTTAGGTCATGTGATCCGGTGATCATCCTCACGTGGCTGATGTCAGCCCACTATTCCTCGTTAGGCGCCTGACTTTGCGTCGGTACGTTGCGAGGTCAGAGGTCAGGCGTGCAGCAATGCACACAACAAGTCAGTCATGTGGTCAGCAGAGGTGAGACGATCATGCGACCAAGCAGCGACGATGCGACCATGCGATTTCGATCGTAAACAGGCGGTGCCAAGTCCACCGTGGCAGCACGCCAGGCTGCGCCAGGCCAAGAGATTTAGAGGCGACTGGCGTGTGACCTCTAGCCGATCCCGCCACCTCGCAGGCGAGGATTGTGTCGCGCGCAGTCTGGTACGACTTGTCTGGCGTAGCTCGCGTCGATTGTCGCTCCCTTCGTACCCTCAAAACCCACCCACGACCCCGCTGGTGTGCGAGTTGTTGCACTTCTCATGAAAGAGTAGGATGCAAAGATGTGCTGAGCAGAGTTGGATCAGCCTCCACCAGCCCACCGGCGCGCATCCCCGACTGGGCATATGCCGGTCCCAGCCCCGATCGGCATGTCCCAAACCCCGGCATCCCGGCACGGCAAGCAGTGCGGCTCACCGATGTCGGCTAAGCGTCCATTCGTGCTTATCAAGAGGCCTGTGCGGCCAATGACCAGTTGCTGAAAGCGAAGCACGCCCGGCGCCGGCGTTCTGCATCATTCTTGGTGCCGACCGCCGGGGTGGTGAAACCGGCGCTGGCCGTACCGGGGCACACATTAGAGGCGGCGAGCTAAGGGCTGTTGATTAGGGATTCGCGATGGGAATCTCGCAGGCCGCAGGCTGGTGCAGGCTGGTGCAGGGCTGCAGACGCTGGCGTGAATACTCGATGGCGTGAGAGACGGCTGCAAACGCGCCCCGAGGTAGGATGGCGCCGGCTTGGCGCTGGATTCGTGTTATCGGGCCTTGGTCCAGTG